TTTAACCTTTGGCATTTTAATTATGATGTGTCTTGGTGTGGTCCTCTTTGGGTCCAACTTGTTTGGGACTCTGTACTTCCTGGACCTTTCCTTTGTCTATTTCCTTTGCCAAATTAGGGAAATTTTCTTTCATTATTTTTTCAAATAAGTTTTCAATTTCTTGCTCTTCCTTTTCTCCTTCTGGCAACACTATGATTCAGATGTTGGCACATTTGGAGATGTCCCAGAGGGTCCTTACACTACCCATATTTTTTTGAATTCTTTTTTCTTCTCACTATCCTGGTCAGATGCTTATTTCTTCCTTATGTTCCAAATCATTGATTTGAATTCCAGCTTCCTCCCTTTCACTGTTGGTTGCCTGTACATTTTTCTTTATTTCACTTACTGTAAACTTCATTTCTTCCTTTATGTTGTTGCCGTCCTCAGTGAGTTCTTTGAGCATCCTGGTCACAAGTGTTTGGAACTCTGCATCTGATAGGTTCGTTATCTCCATTTTGTTTAGTTCTTGTTCTGGGGTTTTGTTCTGTTCTTTCATTTGGGCCATATTTTCTTTTGTCTCCTCAATTTGGCAGCCTCCCTGTGTTTGTTTCTATGTATTGGGTAGAGCTGCTTTGACTCCCTATCTTAGTAGCATGGCCTATTGTCAAAAAGGTACCTGTAAATTATGTGGAGTGGAGCCTTAGGTAATGACCAGGGTGGAGCAACCTGCTTCAGCACTTTGTGGCTCTGTGTGGGTGGAGGGCTCATTGAGGGGACTGTGCCATTGCCTAGCTTCTGGAGGTTTGCCAAGCACTTGCCCCATTTCTAGTCACTTCATCTACTCCCCATATGTTAGTGGCATCCTGCCAGCTGTTGTCCTGATGTTGAATCCCAGAGTGGGTGGATTTGCATACGTTTTAAGACCATGCTGGCCCATTAAGCAGAGTTTCCTGAAAATCCAGCAGTTTTTTCTGTCACCCTAACCCCCACTTTTTTTTTACAGCCAGAAGTATGGGATTTATGTTCCCTGCACTGGAACCATTGGCTGTGCAGTCTGGCCTGGGGCTGCGATCACTGGCTCCTAAGATATCCCTCCCAATTTTTATTCACCAGACATGAATGTGGGACCACCCATGCCTGTTTTGCTGCTGCCGCCTCTCCAAACCACACTGCATCTCCTTGCCTTTCCACCCTTCTCCGTGACTCTGACCCTTCTACTCATCTGGGTGAATGTGACTTCTTTAAATCTTTGTTGTCAGACTTCCATACAGTTTGATTTTCTGACAGTGTGGGTGTTACTTGTTTTGAGGTTTAGTTGTAATTCTTTCTGTGTTTGCGCGAGAAGGCAAAGCGTGTCTGCCTACACCTCCATCTTGACTGGACTGAATATTTCTTATTACTAGTGATAGTGAGCATCTTTTCATATGTCTGTTGGCCATTTATATATCATTTTTGGAGAAATATCTATTCAAGTCCTTTAGCCATTTTTAAATCAGGTTATTATATTTTTGTTGTTTTGGTTGAGTTGTAGTTCTTTTTATATTCTGGATATTAAGCCCTTAGCAGATACATGATTTGCAAATATTCTCTCTTATTTCAAAGAGTACTTTTTTTAATTCTGAAGATTGTGTTCTTGATGCACAAAAATGTTAAGTTTGAAGTATTTCCATTTGTTTATTTTTGCTTTTGTTGTCTGTGCTTGATGTCATAACCAAGAAACCATTGCCAAATTCCACATCATTAAGCTTTTCCCCTATGTTTTCTTCAAGGAGTTTTATAGTTTTGGTTATACATGCAGGTCTTTAATTCACTTTGGATTACTTTTTGTATAAGGTGTAAGATAAGTGTCTAATTTGATTGTTTTTTGTTTGTTTGTTTGTTTTTTTGCATATGGCTATCTAACTTTCCCTGCAGTATTTATTTATTTATTTATTTATTTTACTCAGTTTAATTTAATTTTTGTTGTTGTTAAATTACAGTTGTCTCCATTTTCCCCACATTACTCTCCCCTGCCCTACCCACCCCCCTCCTACCACATTCAATTCTCCCCCTGTTGTCTTTGTCCGTGGGTCCTTTATACATGTTCCTTGACTTGCCCCTTCCCCTTCTTTCCCCTGTTATCCTCCTCACCACACCCCTCTGGTTACTGTCAGTTTGTTCTTTTTTTTTTTCTTTTTTTTCTTTTTCTTTTTTTAAATTTATTTACTTTTTAAATACATTTGTCTCTGCCTCCCCCCCACCTCTTTCCCTTGCCCCCTCCCTCCTTCCCTCCTTCATAAAAATAAGAAGCTTCTGCACGGCTAAAGAAAACATCAGCAAAATGAAAAGGGAGCCAACCATATGGGAAAATATATTTGCTAATGATACATCAGATAGAGGTTTGATCTCCAAGATATATAAAGAACTCACTCGACTCCACTCCAAGAAGACAAACGATCCAATCAAAAAATGGGCAAAGGACCTAGGCAGATGTTTTTCCAAGGAGGAGATACCCAGAGGCATTTGAAAGGATGCTCAGCATCACTAGCCATCAGAGAAATGCAGATCAAAACCACCATGAGGTACCACCTCACACCGGCCAGAATGGCCATCATAAACAGACCCACAAACAACAGATGCTGGCGAGGCTGTGGAGAAAAGAGAACCCTAGTCCACTGTTGGTGGGAATGCAGACTGGTGCAGCCACTATGGAAAGCAGTGTGGAATTTCCTCAGAAAGCTGAAAATGGAACTGCCTTTTGATCCAGCGATTCCCCTGCTGGGACTATACCCTGAGAACACCAAAACGCCAATACAAAAGAACCTATGCACCCCAATGTTCATAGCAGCACAATTTACAATAGCCAAGTGTTGGAAGCAACCTAAATGCCCATCAGTAGATGATTGGATCAAAAAATTATGGTACATATACACAATGGAATACTACGCAGCAGAAAGAAAAAAAGAACTACTAAACTTCACGACAGCATGGATGGAACTGGAGAGCATCATGCTAAGCGAAATAAGCCAGGGGATGAAAGACAAAGACCATATGATCTCACCTATAAGCGGAACCTAACCAACAATGCAAAGATGCAAGGAAAATATGACCAGCAACACTGAAAGGAAAAGAAATCAACAGAGACAAGAGGGAAGGAGGGAGGGGCGGGCAGGGAAAGGGAAGGGAAGGGGAAAGTCCCCTGCAGTATTTATTGAAGAAACTTTCCTTTCTCCATCAAGTGGTCTTGGTACCTTTGCCAAAGATCATCTGATCATATAAGCAAAGGTTTATTTTGGACTTTCTATCCTTTCCCATTGATTTCTCTGTCTGCCCTTCTGCTACTTTCACTGAGTGGATTACTATAGCTTCATAATAGTTTTCAGATCAGGAAGTGTGAGTCCTCCAAATTTGGTTTGTTTGTTTTTGGCAAAACTGTTTTGCTATTCAGTGTTGCTTGAGATTCCATATAAATTTTAGGATGACTATTTCTATTTCTGAAAAAAATTCCACTGGGATTTTGATAGAAATTATATTAAATCTGTAGATCATTTTGAGTAGTATGAACATCTTAATAATATTGTCTTTTAATTCATAAACAGAGGATGTCTACCCATTTATTTATGGCCCATTAGCGCTTGCATTTCCCCTAGCCACAGGAATTTCTTTAGAGATAGGCACATTTTCCTTTCAGAGCCAATGAGAAAAAAAAATTTTTTTCTTTAGATTTCTGAAGCAAAAGCATGCTTTATTCCCAGGTGCCTTGGACCTGAGGCTGCATAGAGACTGAAGCTGTTGTCACCATCAAGCCACGAAACCTGGGGTGAATGTCAATATAGTTAAAGGCTGAGACAGGAAATGGAGTGATACTGAGCATAGATGATTTCTTTTTTTTTTTGAGCCCTGATGCTGTCACTGCTCCTGATCTTTTCAGTTGTGCGAACCCAAACAGTTCCTTTTATGCCAAAATCAGGTTTTGGTTGACATTTCTGTCATTTGCACCCAAGACCCTTGTTGATTTAGAAAATAATACAGCTTTTCAAAGAGTAGGTGACCAGGCAGCCAGACCTCGTCCAGCAGTCTTGGGCGGGAGCTTTCAGCACCCGGAACAATGCTGCCCTTGAGCAGAGCCTAATTCCTGGTGGAGGCCAGTCTGCCATTCAAATGGTTGGCTCTGCTTGCCAACCTTGCAAGGATTGCTGCTGTCCTCAAACCCATCACATTCGGGAGCTCCTCGCAGGTCACTCTCCCCTTCTTACCACTCTACTCCTTAGGCTGCCAGGACCAATTCTCTTCTTCCCATCAGCACTGTTCTCAGGGAAACACTTAATTAACCCATTCCCTCTAAGGTTTACATAGCTCATATGTTCCTACTTGTTAGAATATCTACATTTCAAAAGGGAACAAAGTCTCTTAATAATCAATAAAATTTCTAGTGATAGAAATTTCTAGACACATGAGAGTAGCCACTTAAATAAAATGTTAAATTGCCTTGGTTCACTGTACTGTCTTGGAAATCTCTGCGGACGAGTGAATTTGTCTGTGCCCATACAGCTCTGTACCAGTCGTAACACAATGATATCGTACTTTATTAATAATTATAGAATGCAGCAATTCACAGTAGGCCTCAAAATTTACCTTCCTCTTATGCAGAAAGGTGCAAACTGCTCTCAGAAACATCAAAATCAATCACCATTACTTATATTTATTGAACACATTATGTGCTCCATATGCCAGGCATTGTTCTAAGGACTTTACATTACCTGATCTCATCCTCACTGACAGTCTAGGAGGGAACCACATTATAAATCTCATATTGCAGCTGAGGAAATTAAGATGCAGAGAAATTAAGTAACTTGTTCAAAGTGGCACCATTACTAAGCTGAAGGAAACTATGGAGCAAAAAAATGTTAGAGGTATCAGGGTGAAATTGGCCTCCGGGGCTCCTCTTAGACACCCAGGAATCACATCTTGGTATCTAATGAAATCAGGAACTGATAAATTATTATTTATTTTATTTTTATTATTTTGTTTTCTTTTCTTAAATTGGCCTCTCGTGCCTTTAAGAGCCAGCTCTATACTCAGGATGGCCCTCCTGAACTGAGAGGGAGGTCACTGTGTGTCCTGCCAGACTCCCCTGTTACAACTGAAATTATTATTTTAGAATCACAGAAGTTGGAAGTATCGAATGTGCCATTGAAATGAAAGAAAAATGAGATTCAGCCAGAGTATCAGAAATAAAACTAGACCACACATCTAATAATTCCCAGTCTGTGCTCTCTGCATTTATTCATTCACTCACTCATTTATTTATTTAACATAAACATTCCATAGAAAAAACTCATTTACTGCAAATGGAAAGTGTTGGTGATGCCAAAATTAAAATATAAACATTTAGCAAAAATAATAAATAAGCTCTTTGGTCTCCAAGAAACAAGAGTGTTGGGAAAAGTGGAATAATGTTTTGATCAGCCAAATCTGCCTGGGAGTCCCAGGAGGACTTCACAGGAGAGAGAGAGCAGGAACTTTCGAAAGAAACCAGAGCAGGGAAGAACAATCTAGGAGGGAAGGTGAGGTCAGGTAGGAGTAGGCAGGTAAAGTGTCTGGTTGCAGGGGGTGAGGCCAGGAAGCTGGGCAGACAGGGTCATGGGGATTGCGTATGCCACATGATGAGTAATTTGGGGGAGAGTCCTAGGTATTTTTGGTCAGATTTGCAATTGGAAACAAATACAATTTTTAAAAGGCTGTTGAGAGGGGGTTAGAACTGGGTAGGTATGCTGCATGGGGGATTTTAAGCATGGAAACGATCTGGTCAGATTTGCTGGAGAGGCAAAGTGGGGTTGCCGCTAAGGAGCTGATTTTCTTGAAACATGTTTACTATAATAACTTTCCACTGAGTCATCTTCCTAGTTCAAAAAGTAATTAGAGGAGCATGAATGAAGTTGCAGGGAGTTGAGTTCAGAGGCCATTGCATTAGTCATATGAGAGCTCGTGAGCACCCATCTTAGGCAGAGCTGCAGAGATGGGAGGCAGAAGTGCCTTCAGAAGTAAACTCACAGGCCTTGGTCAAAGAACAGATATAGGGAATGAAAATGAAAAGAAAAACAAGTCTGCCTCCCTGGTTTCTGAGCTGGGAGACCAAGTGGATGGTGAAGCTTCCTGCTTCTTTTCTTCTCTTTTTCTTTTCTTTTTTAAATCCTCACCTGAGGATATAGTCATATCCTCATATCCTCAATAGTCATTGGTTTTTATTTATGTATTTTTTTTTTGTAATGAGAGAGAGGGAGAGAGAAACATCATTGTGAGAGAGAAACATCCACCCGTTAACTCCTGAACATGCCCCAACCCCAACCCTGATGGGGGTTTGAACCTGCAACCTAGGCATGTGTCCTGACTGGGAATCAAACCTGCAACCTTTTTGCGTTTGGGAGGATACTCCAAACGACCCACTGGCCAGGGTCCACTTCTTTTCCACAACACATGCAGGTTGTGAACAATTCAATAATGCAGGGCTGGGAGAAGTAACAAGCGTTAAGTCCCCTTCCCCTCGTCCTCCTTTACTCCAGGGCCCCTCCCCAAGGTAGAGCCACTGTTAATATTTTCTGTATTCCTTGCACAGATTCTCTATATTCATGCTGAAATCAGTTAATTTTTTAAACACAAAGAGAACTTCTGCTGCAAAGTCATATTGCCAAATCATGGAAGTTTCTAGAGAGAATGTTTGCAGTCAACTATGCATATCACAGTGCTGGAGGGGAAGTTTCAGGAAGGTATACACATCTCTGGGAGTTCATTTGGGGCTTTGTCATAGATTCAGCCCTTGTTACAGCCGCCATTCATAAGCCCAAAAAAGGGCCGTACAATGCCCAAGTGTAACACAGCAGGAATGAAATCAATAAACATTTTTAATTAACAATTTTCCTATAATATAGGTATGTTCATCTCCAAAGTTAAATATAAAATATATTCCAGGGTATTCAATGTCCTGGAAATGCCAACAGGATTGTTTGTATGTACATTAGCTTTCAATTGGAGAATTAACTGTGGCAATTTTTCTTTCTCCTGTGCCCTGGATAATATTACTTCTACAAATTAAAAATGAGACAAATGTCATAAGGATGTGAAGAGATGACTTTGACAGCATATGAAACCGCAGTTGAATAGGATCTCTCTCTACTCTCTCTCTCTCTCTCTCTCACATACACAGTGCATAAAAATCATTCAAATTTTCAGAGGGAAAACAAAGTCTACCATTTTTATAGAGCTACAATAAAATCATATTGCACATGCTAAATTCTGCATATTCTCTAGGGAATTCACTGGATAGGAGTTGCTATCAAAGACTAAAATAGAATAAAATAGACCCACTTAAGAACTTTAAATCCTTCCAAAGTTATGTTTCAGAGAGAAACTGTATCAAAAAATATATTAGAATGGTCACTCCGTGTACTAGGACATTAGGCAAGAAAGAAATTTAAATCTAAATTTGTCAAATTTAAGTTCTATGTTTAGTATTTTTAACAATATGAAAATAAAAACTAATATGTAGCAGGACTTAATCCTTAATTTATTGATTTTCTGGAAACATGTTTACTATATTAACTCTTTCCACCGAGTCATCTCCCTAGTTCAAAAAGTAATTATAATATGAACAATAATTATTATAATAAAGAATAGCTAACATTTATTGAGCATTTATTATGTGCCAGGTATTATTATTCCATTTCATCCTTGCAGCCCATTATTATCTCCCATTTTAAACATATGACCATTTCTGATTTCTAATACTGGGTATTATAGACTCAAGGGATGCTTAAACAGGGTATTTTGGAGTGACAAAACATTCAGTGGTTTCAAAAATCATTGTGCAAGGAAGCCCTGTTCAAATCAGATGTTTGGAGCTGCTTCATGACTGAGAGTAAATTGCCCAGGTTGATTACAGTGTAAAGTGGAACTTAAGCTGCTGGTTCCACCTCTGGCACACAGAGTCCAAACTTAGAAACATTATCCTTTTGCAGGTTGGACTAGTGGTTGCCAGGATAAGATGTCCAATGTGGATGCAGAGGAGAACTGCTTCCAGATCTCAAATTAAGGAGAGGGTGTGTGGGGGAAGTTGCAGTGGGTGACTATGGATACTCGCATGGATGGGGTATACACACTGTCAATGAGCTCTCACTCTAAACAGAGTTGTTGGATGTAGAATTTATTACTGTTAAACAGACCAAATAACCAAAACAATTATATATATGTTCCCATTAGAATGCTCACAAGACATTTTATTAAATGAAAAAAGCCAGATGTGTAAGAGTTTGTGTGGTATGTTATTGTTTGTTTAGAAAGCAGGTGGTGGAAGGAGAATGTATTTAAATCTATGCTAAGATGATCGGAGAATATAACAGGAAGTTCCATAAGAAATTACCTCGGGGGAGAGAGTCTTTGAGGGACAGAAGAGTTAGTTTTCATTGCTTATCATTTTATCATTTAAAAAATTTTTAAACAATGTACATGCATTACTACTTCAGATGGATAGATAGATATAGATATAGGGATAGATAGATAGATAGACAGATATATTTTGATAGTCAGCAAGATTTCTTGCATTTGCCCCCTCTTATCCATGTTCCACTCTTCTGCACCCTGCTCTATGCCTTGAAAGACTAATCATTGGTATCCAGGTGGGTTTGGCCAGTGGGAGCACCAGCAGCAGATTAGGGGAGGGGAAAAGAAGAGAATCAGTTCAAAGTACTTATTCAAGTTGGCCCCCAAAATTAATCATATAATACAATTTTAGGTGGCAATATGAAGAAAATAAAACAATGCAATAGGATAGAGAGTGGTTATTTCAGTTGTGCTGTTTAGGTGGAATGGTCCAGGAAGGATCCTCTGAAAAGGTAATATCTGAGCTGAAATCTGCATGGAGAGAAAGGACCAGCCATTGGAAGTCCAAGGATAATCGTTACCAGCATGGAAAAGGGCAGGGGTGAAGTGCCTGAGGTGGACCCAAGCACTGAGTGTCCTAAGAATAGAAAGCAGGCTCGCGTGCTGAGCCCGGCAAGAGAGGGATAAGAGAGATGCCATGGGGTAGACATGCAGGACCACAGTACAGTCCATGATTGTATTATAACTGCAATGGGAAGTCACCAGAATGCATCCATCACAAACATGGTCAGACCTGACTCACATTTACATTTATAAAGGATCTTTGCTGAGTAGAGAATGAACTGTGCAAGGGAGAGATGTTAAAGGCAATTGCCAGATGTCGGAGACAATGATGCCAGGACAAGGGCGACAGCAGGGGAGATAGTAACACATGGTCAGGATCAGGATATTTTGGAGGTAGAGCTGGAAAAATGTACTGATAGACTGAATGCAGCAGTGTAGGCGTGGTGGCAAAAATCAAGAACAACTCTTTGGGCTTTGGCCTGTGCTAAGGCAGGACAGGGATGCTGTTAAAAAGATGAGAAAAACTCAGGACTGGGGACATGGAGTAAGTTTTGTTCCTGTTAAATGATTTATCCAATTACTATAATTTTATGGTTCATCTTTCAGGGTTCTGGGGGAGACAGCTCGCATTCTTATTTTTGGAACTCCCCACCACCTGTCCCATAATACAAAGAACCAGAAAAATGAAATAATTAATTTTTTTTCCCTTCTATTTTCATGAATAAGAAACACATGACAAATAAACTGAAGTGGATTTATTAAAAAAAGAACTTCCAGCATGTCATAGAGTCAATACAGTGTCAGCCTAATCTTCTATACCAACTGTACCCCTGCTGTGCCTGATAGCTGATGGTCCGAGTGGCGGTGGTGACGACCCTGGTCACCACAGAATAGTAGAGGTCTTCTGAATCATCATGGAAGATGACCTATGAGCAGCATAAGGATAGTGTTAGGTGGGCATCGCCTTACACATCTTATACCCTCAGAAGAATACTGGAATGAACTAAATCCTTCATAGAGATTATTAAATCCAGTACTTTTTCAAATAGCTTGGGAGTGACCTCCCAAGAATTTCAGATCTGTGGGAACTTTTAAAATGGCTCACCACCCTCGAAGATACTGAAATGATCCCTGGGGTTATTTTCTCCCTTGGCTGTTTCCCCCAACCTATTGAAAACCGTCATCTGTGATGAAAACTCTAGCCAATGGCAGTGTCTCTTCCCTGTACCTGCAGAGGCAGAGAGGAGATTGAGG